GCCAGATCTATGGCCAACGATGGACTACAAAGCTTTCTTCGTGATCAAACTCAGCCGTGAAGGGCACACTTCCTGATGATCATCATCCAACATTGTTCCACGCCTCGAAAATTATCTTCGTCTTTCATAAACATAGGAAGGCGAAAACGTCTCGTGTGATGAAGTCGACCATGACGTTGAAGAAGAAGATGATGACATTTCAAACTGGTTAACTTTCTTTGGATTGATTCTCCTGAGTAAAGTGTGCAAAAGTCTTGATCTTGAGTTCCTTTTTATGGGTTTATTGATGTTGGTGGAATAGTAAGGAGGGGGTGTAACAGGAGGGATTAAAGAGGTGTCGTAGAATGATTGGTGTTTGGGGGTCCCAGGGCAAGTCTCCCACGAGAAGGGCACTGTACCAGATACATCTCCATAGTAAACCCTAAATGAAGGGTTGGTTTTTGAGGTTTCCTTTGAAAGAAGCCTTGAGAAGAACTTGCCATCACTCTTGATTTCAAATGACTTCTCAAGATCTGGGATGCTGCCAATCGGCATAGTGAGATTAATGAAGTGAATGAAGGGGAGAGAGAGAGAGAGAGAGAGAGAGAAGTTTAGCTGTGCTTTTGATCAATTGATACGCGCATACTGGCATACATATATATTAGAGAGAGGAGACCCCAGTCTGTTATGGACATTAAAAGCTTGAAAAGGTTTAAAAAGTTCCTAAAAAAACTAAGTTCAAGAGCAAAAAATAATTTTAAATATATATTTAGTGGGATTTAGAAATTTTATGAATTTTTCAACCAAACATTTTTTAAACTTTTATTAAAATTTGCTAAAACTTTTATTAGACACTTCGCAAGACAAACTTGGATATTTAAAAATCAACTTGAAACAAAATAAAATCTAATTTAAAATAAATATAAAATTTTGCTAAGTGCAACAATCACCTGCTTTTGACCCACCAAATATATTTTCGAATCATTTGAAATATATTAAATATGTAAACAATAATGATGTGATCTTCAAGGAATAGCCCTTCAACAACATTTTCATGAAGAGATTAATTTTTATTAAATACATGATTCCAAAAAGCTGGGCACGTTTCATATATAGGTTTCAGCAATTTTTGCTAAAAAAATTAAATTTTTAGTATATGTTCATAAAAATTATTAAAATGTACGTTAAAAAGTTGATAAAAATGTAAATTTCACAAAATATGTAGTTAAAATTAATTATTGACTCTGACTTAATTTTTTATCTACTTTTTTTTTAACTAAACCAAACAGGGACATACAATCATGAGTTGTTTAATAAAATAAAATAAAATTTTCTATTCTTATTAAGTAAATAAAATGATTTTATTTATATATATAAAAGAAATTTCATTGTTTTGAGAATGTGTATACGTGTCTTTGAATAATGAGTGGAATACAAAATAAGTTAATTAGTATGGAACACACTTACAATTGATCGAAAAATTAATTATTGACACATGGGGCATAATCGAAAGTGTATTGAACTGGACCATCTTGGGTAAAAGTTCATAATCAGAATTAAACTCCACTTTGACTGATTTTACGAATTACTTTAATTCCTCACATATTAATACTTTTTATTCGTAAATGTCTATGATAACATTCTGAATTTGAAGTTTATAACTATCATTTCTTCTCCCTGCTTTTATTTTCATTTGAAATTTGGAGTTTTGATAGAATAAACGTAGATGGTAAAAAAAAAATTTGAGAAAGATTTATATTTATGTTTTTATGTTAAAAAATATGAATTTTCAAATAAATAAATAAAAGGTATTAGCGGGTTGGATTGGTTAACTGATGGATTTGTTGCTTAAACAGTCACTAAACCGACCCTATTTTTTTCATGGTTAAAATTGACCAGATCAAACCAATCTCTTGGTTCAAATCAACCCAAACCGACCCGAGTCGGTTTGGTTTGGTCAGTTTGATCGATTTTTCGATTTTTTTTTTTTGCCCACATCTAGTAATTCGAGCGGTAATCTAATTATATCTTTTAAATTTTGAGCCCGATAGATAATATTCCTTCTTCACCCATTTTTCACCCTTGTAATCAAACGGGCCTGAAACAAATAACAAGAATAAAGCTCGAGAGATATCTAGAATCACAAGAATGATAAAACGAGCGAATGCCATTATGAACAAATCAACCAATCACCAACCAGTCGTCTGATTATGATTTAGAAACTCAGTTGAAGCCAGTCGTTAGAAGGAACTGGACCCCACAAACAAACATTACGTGTGTAGATCTTATTGGAGAGGTTGGAAGGTGCTTTTGAATGGGACCCACAACACCTACCTCAGTGCCCCAAATTAAACCCTTCCACAAAAAAATATAAAATATCGACTTTGAATTTCGAAAATCCATAGCAAAAATGTTTGCTCGATTGGACTATGAATACGATACGATGTTTAAAAAAAGAAAGAAATTATTGTCTTTCGGGGTACTAAACTCTTTCAAAGCTCTATAAATAAGATTGTGTGTCGTCTATTGTTCTAATCATACATAATCTCTAAAAACATAATTAATTACAAGTTACTTCCCGTTCGACATCCTTAAAATTCAAAAAAATTACCTGTAGAATATTTCATTGTGTGAACGTGGTAAAGAATATCAAACAAGAGCTTGATAAAGATGTATTAGTCACACATGTGATTGTCTTATTTATTATTATTATTATTGAAATAAATCTTTAAAAATACGAGTATTCGAAATTTATATTCCACAAGTTAGAAATTAACCAGTCGTCACGCTCAGACAAAAATAAATAAATAAATATTGGGAGCAAAACGCGTTTATTGTTAATTTTTTGGAATTTTTTGTGAAGGTTCAACCTAAATCACCGACGAAGTTGGCATAGTCGGCCAAAGTTGAAATTGAAAAGTATTCATTTGAGTTTCCATTTTAGAATATTCTTGTAATAATTCTTGTAATATCATTAGGGAATTTTGAATTGTGTTCTATATTGCCAACCTGTTCTGAATTGAACAGTAAAACTAGGTTACTAAATAAATATTTAAAAATAAAATAAAGTTAAAATGTTAAGCGTTTCTACTTATTAGCCTTGTTGGTCCAACGATACACGAAAATCGAATTTTTCAATTATGGAAGTAAATTTAATAATTTGTTGGGTGATAATATCTCCCTCAGCTGTTCAGTTTCTTAATTATATTTATTTGACAGTGATTAGTGATATAATTAATCCATATACTGAGGGCTATTAATAAATATTAATTTAATACAGATGACAATTGGGGTTTTATTAGTCTAACAAATCAGGGACCTTTCTGTAATTTCACTTCAATAGACTAATGATTAGCCCGTCTTCTACGTGAAAATAGTTGTATAAAATACCCAAGGCTCTTCGCGAACATGCTCAAGCGCACGCTCACACGGATCTATTCATACACTACATAAATTCAAATCTAATTTTAAAAGGCAGATCGATTAAAGGTATGGAGATTCAGCTTCATTTTTATTTTTTTTTTAATTATGTTTCTATGTTCGTGGGATATTTTGTTTTTGTTTGTGAAATTTATATGATTCTAGTGGTTTTTCCATATCTGTTTATGAATTTGAAGTAAAATTTATGCTTTTAGATTCTGGAAGGTCTAAGACAATAAGAATTCTATGATTTTTCAATCTCTGAAAAATTTTATTGGTTAAGATGTATGATTTTTTCAATTTTCAGGATTTATTAAAAGATTGGTGGGATTTGGTTTTCTCAATTGCTAAGATAGAAAATTGTTTACATCAAGAATGAGATCCTGATTTTCGGTCTCGGTTTCAGATAATTATTAATGTTTAAAGTTCTCGTTTTCTGTTCAACTCTAGTCTTTGATGTATTTAACGTGCTATGTTCCATTGTGTTATCAAAATAAGTTTCTCAGTTTCTTTTGATTCTATTTATGTTTGATTTTGATTTTTTTATTTTTAAATTCCGATTAGAAATAAGTTCGAAACTTTTTAATTGAATGGATTTCAAGCATGTGATATTCTTTATTTTAGCCCCTCTGTGGGCTCCATTAAACTGAGATTTTGGGGGAAAATGTGTTTTGGAATAGTGATTTTTTGGATAATGTGTAATTAAAAAATAAGGAAAAGTTTTGTATTTACGTTAAATATTATTTTACATGAGAATGTGTGGTTAAAAATGAGTTTTGAAAAAATGGAGCCCAAACATGAGCTTAGTTTCAAGTATCAGTACGATTATATGTTGCTGCCATCATTTGCTAATGGGCCATTTTTTTAGCTCACATAGATATATTACGGCATCAATGGTGATAAGGTTTTTGTTCTATTAAATTTTATTGTTTCTGGGTGAGAATGAGTACTTTGAGTATGCTTCTAAATGTCATTATCTCTTTGTGCATGGAATTTATATGTTGTGGACGTATATTTTGCTCTGATCTCAACACATCCCTGCTTATCAAACATTTGTAAAGCATTCTTTATTTTTGTTATTGATAATTTGATAGTCATGTATCTTGTTTCTAACATCTTCAGGTGGACGTCTAATCCATTTGGCAGTAAAGAATTGGAATTCATACGTTTTTCTTCACTTGATAGTTCTTCAGGAGGAAAAAACTTTTACACTTGCCCATCTTCTTCAGTCTTCTCTCATTTGAAACAAATTGCAGGGAATGCCGAAAGATGTGCTTGCTGGACAGACAGTCTTTCTCTGAGGTTGATGAGATTCAAGCTCCATACGAGCTTCCCTCCATTACCCTTGATGAAATAGGACAGATAACATACAACCCTCTCTACTTCTTCAGTCAAATACCTAGTGTAGGTAAGTATAATAGGAGACAAACTGTTTCATATCACGACCTCTGTGAAGATGGTTGAGTTACTGCATTCTTGAGTATCGATTTATCCACTACAAATATCTAAAGAACTGTTTGCGGGGGCAATAGAGAAATAGCTTTCTCCTGTTATGGTAGATCTGAAGATGGAAAACAAAGGAAGCGTGTTAATGCAAAGATATGAGTTGGGTAAATTGCTTGGACAAGGCACCTTTGCCAAGGTTTACCATGCAAAAAATCTTAAGACTGGCATGAGTGTGGCCATTAAGATAATTGATAAGGAGAAGATCTTGAAGGTCGGGATGATTGAACAAATCAAACGAGAAATCTCTGTAATGAGACTTGTTAGGCACCCAAATATTGTTCAGCTTTATGAAGTCTTGGCCACCAAAAAAAAGATATATTTTGTCATGGAATACGTAAAAGGTGGTGAACTCTTTAACAAAGTGATCAAAGGGAAATTGAAAGAAGATGTTGTAAGGAAATATTTTCAACAGCTGATAAGTGCAGTTGATTTCTGCCATAGCAGAGGTGTTTTTCACAGGGATCTTAAACCTGAGAACCTTCTTTTGGATGAAAATGGAAACCTAAAAGTCTCGGATTTTGGATTGAGTGCTCTTGCGGAATCCAAGCGCCAGGACGGTTTACTTCACACAACGTGTGGGACACCTGCCTATGTTGCTCCCGAAGTGATTAACAGGAGAGGTTATGATGGCGCCAAAGTTGATATCTGGTCATGTGGGGTGATCTTGTTTGTTCTATTGGCTGGATATCTCCCATTCCATGATTCAAATTTGATGGAGATGTATAAAAAAATCGGCAAGGCAGAGTTCAAATATCCTAACTGGATCCCTCCTGATGTTCGCAGGCTCATTTCAAAAATACTGGATCCAAACCCGAACACCAGGATTTCCATATCCAAAATCATGGAAAGTTCTTGGTTCCGTAAGGGTTTCCAATCCAAAGTCACGAAAAGTAGTGCTGATTCTATGATTCGAGACATGGATGTAAAAGAGGCAGTAGTTGATGCTGATGCAATGTTCAGTTTTGGGGAGAACGCGAACTCAACAGGTGTGAAACTAGAATTTGCAAAGCCTACAAACCTGAATGCATTCGATATCATCTCCCTTTCAGCCGGTTTCGACTTGTCTGGCTTGTTCGAGGAAAATGACCAAAAGAAAGAAGTTCGTTTTACATCTAAGCAACCTTCCAAGACTATCATCTCCAAGTTAGAGCAAGTAGCAAAGCGTCTAAAGTTGAAAGTATTGAAGAAGGATGGAGGATTGTTAAAATTTGAAGGAACAAAGGAAGGCCGAAAGGGTATGCTGTCTATCGATGCAGAAATCTTTGAGGTTACTCCGAGTTTTCATTTAGTCGAGATGAAGAAATCCAATGGAGACACGCTGGAATACCAGAAGATGATGAAGCAGGACATAAGACCATCACTGAAAGACATTGTTTGGACATGGCAAGGTGATCATCCACAACCCCTGCAGCAACAAGAACAACCAGAGGTACAGCCATTGACACAATTGGATGTTGTTGCGCCTCAAAATTGATTACTGAAAGAACATATTTAGGGAATGATTTTAACTAGTCTTCTTATATACAGTCTAATTTACAGAAGTGTGTTGTATCTGATGCTTATTTTGAGTACTAAAATGACTTGTTTCTGTTTGTTCATTTCGGCATCTTTTTTTTTTTCTGTTCTTTTACAATATCTCAACTAAATCTCAGAACCCTTTTACTATTACGAACGACTAAGTTCATAAATTACTAGCAGCCTTTTGTGCATTATCCTGTTTAGCTTTATCAGTTGTGGTTTTGCTATGTTTTATGTGCATCTGGTTGGTGATGAATAACATTGGCATTAATGCTGGTCGGTCACCAGACTGACATTATACAATAAGAATCTAGTTTTATTTGTAGTGGCGGTAAAAGATTCATGTACCTGACCTAAAAAAATAGTTGTTGCATCATGGCATGCTGCCTTGTGTTTTCTATTTCTCTCATTATGCCAAATGCAGCGAACCCTGTTACAAAGTTGTCTTTGAGGTGCATAGACTGCTAGCTAACTCGTTAACTGGGATAAATATTGTGAATATTCTGGGAGGAAATTTTGACATTTCGTAACACGCATTTAAATCTATTTTCAGAGGATAATGAATCAAGAAAAAACTATAATTGGAACTTGGCCCCAATGAACAAAATATCAGTTGAGCTTTCATTTCATTGTGGAGACTCCTGATTTTCCCGTAATACAAATATTTTCAGCAACTTCAAATTAGCCAGATTGGTAGCGTCAGAAATATAGCAGTCTTTTTTAATATTTGAATTGAGCTAAGAGTTGAGATTGACAGTAGAGGGCCGACACTAACATTTGAGAGAGAAAATTTAGAGTGAGTGAGATTAGATATCAAAATAGTCTTAGCCATAAACAATGGATACTACAAGGTGTTGTGCGTATCAAGTTCTATTGTATAAATTCAAAAAGAATAATTATTACGGTCAAGTCCTAAATGAAATTACTACATTTCTACTGGCATTGCCGGCACCACAACTTCCATAGCTGCTGCTGCTGTCACTTTCACTGCCTTTGGTATCCAAACTGCTATTGGAATCCATACTACTGCTTGCACCATCATCAGGAGTAGAATTCCTTTCTGGTTTACTGACATAATTAACAGCAAAACTTAATTCAGAATTTCACCAATAGCCCCAAACTTGATCCCAATCACCTTTCCCCAATCCGTTTGTTTGCACCTTATTCCCTTCAATAGTTCCGCCCACTCTGATTGAGTCTTTGTGCTGCTCATTCGGCCAAAGTTTTTGTTAAGACATTTCCATGTTCAGTCAAGTTTTCTAGTTTCTTCTCGAGTCCTGTCTCGTCAATTCAGGGGCAGAACTAGGATTTTTTGTTAGGGTGGGCACAATTTACCTAATGATTAACGTCGAGTTTTTGTCATGGATGTAACAGAGAAGAAAAGCGTAGAAAAAAGAAGAACAAGATAGTTGAACTAACTGCAGCAGAACAAACTAAAGCTAATAACTTGAGGTCCATTTGTTACTAACTTATTAACATCAACTGATAACTCGTACAGTTCAAAAGGGATACAATTACTAAACGGTTTGTAACCACATATTTTACATCTACATCAAGGAAAGAACAAAAGCCAAGTTCTGATCAATTTCACATTTGCTCTATTTTCGACACGAGCCCACGTTTAATGAAAAAATGAGAATCACCTTCAGGAATATATAAATGTAAATAGTTACCAAAATCTCAATCAAAAACGAAATACATAATGTTGAATTTTTTAAATAAATAAAAAAGGGAAAAGTGTATTTTCAATTCTCAAACACACATCCCAACAAGGTGATAATGAAAGATGTCTAAATATCTCAAAGGGGAAAAAAGTGGGTTTATCTTTTATGAAAATATGAGAGCTGTTTAATCAATTCTCTTTTGGAAGTATTGTTAAATTATAATAGGACATATATCATAAAATCTTGAAGTATTTATAGGCACTGGTAATTTAACCTCCAGATAGCACAAAAGGTTCTATGTAATTCAATTAAGACTTCATGTAATTCTGAGAATCTGAGGTGCAATTCTATAAGTTCAGATAAAAGCATTCAAAAAGTTCAAATCAAATTGAAACTATGATAACCAAATTCAACATTTGAGATACAATCATACAAAGACTGCCCAAAAAATTTAACATGAGCAATTGAGGTCCAGAATCACCAAGTCCAACCATTCCAAATTCCAAAACTGCCCAAAAAATATTCATTCACAGAATCACCAAACCACAGAATCAATGAATAACTCTGTACCTCACCTAAGAATCGAAAACCCAAATTCACCAAGGAAACCCCAAATAGTTTATGTATAATGTGAACCCCAAAATATAGATCAAAGAGGAAAAAACAGATAGACAGTCTAGACTTACAGTAGGTTACCAAGTAACGGAGGCGAAGCGAAGCAGCCAGCAGGCGCAGTTGGTCTAGGGCTCGAAGTCGTCGGCAGTGCACAGAGGCGATTCGCGAAAGCACGAAGCAGAGGCTCGAAGTAACTGCTAGCGAGATGCTATTGTCGAAGGATGATGAAGTAACCGCTGGCGAGCTACGACCGACAGGAGGCTGGCTGGAGGAGAGGCGGAGGTAGAGTTGTTAAGACGGACGGACCTGCCAGACCCGTGAAAATCGGTCCGGATCGACCCGGGATCGCGGGCCGACCCGTGACCCGAGCGGGCGGTTCACGGGTCAAGGAGGTGTAATCCGCGGGCTTCGCGGGTTGCACCTTCACGGGTCGCGATTAACCCGCTGGCCCGTGAAAACTTTTTTAAAAAATTTGAAATATATAATTTTTGAATAAATATATAAAAGTAAATAATTGAAATGGGGATATACAAATATTAAAATATATAATTTTTGAACAACTAAATTATAGTTAAGACTTAAGTAGGTGCCAACTGATTACGTCCAAAGAATAACGCGATAGTTGTAGCACAGTTTTGGGGTGTCGTATCCACAGGGAGATGGAAAAATATTTAAAGGATCAAAAATGCTGAATTGTTCTCTCAAATGTGTAATAAAATTCAATGTTGAAACGTGAAATTAAAATCAATAATTTGAAGCGGTGAAGCGTCGGAATTCCCTCAATTGGATTGGATCAATCATATCAATTATTCATTTTTATAACACAATTAGATGCTTTCGTCCCGATACTCTAATCGGAAGATATATCGTGAAAATCAATTTAATTTACAAATGTAATCTTAGAATTTAGATTTAAGACATATTATCACAATTTTATTGGAACAAAATCAAAGATCGACCATATACAACAAGCATAAGACAGTAATCAATCCTCCAATAAAGTGAAATTGAGATTAAAATTCAACAACTAGTTTAATCTAACGATAGAAGAAGCATGATTGGATCTATGAAGGATATAATAATTGTTAAACCAATTTTAACAATAAATAATTGAAATTGAAACTCAATAAATAGTTTGATTGAACAAT